TCACAACACAAAGTCCTGCAATTTCTCCATGACGAGTATAATCGTCATCTACAGTTAACTGGTTAATAAATAACAATTGGAGCTACCCATATGAACATGTTTTAGTGCAAGAATATTTTGCGAGTATAAACCCCCTCTCTCTTTAAGTTTATAACTAAACCATAACTTGCAATTGAATCATCAAACTAATACGATTTTTTTTTATTTGACAAAGAGTAATACAGCAAAAACATCCTAAATTACTTTTCCTTTTGTTACATAAAAGAATAAAATCATTATAAATGATCTGGATCCAAAACAAAAAAGGAAGCAATTATTATAAAAACCTCATTAAATGTTAAAAAACATAGTACCGAGATTATACGTAATTGAACCACATCCAATAACTCCCTTAATTCCCAAAACAAAACAGCAAAAAACAACTGCCTTTCCTGTCTGGCAACTTTTCCTAGGTAAAAACATCCAGTCACGCAGTTGTCTCTCAAAAGAATATGATCCTCTATCACCTGCAAAAAGAATATTGACAAAAGAACCCTCTTTTTCTATCCAATGAGTTTACTTTGGGGATATATTTAGGGTTTAATTTGAACTTTTGGGACTGGAGAACGTAAATCCACATTTTATTAGCCAGACATCGACTGCTTCGATATTACCATAGATATTAAATGGAAAGGGTAAAGGAAGCAGCTATCTGTAAGCCATGTCACGCAAGAAAACTCATGTTAAGGTCAGAGACAGAGTACATAAAGGTATTGTGTCGTGCCATGTATTTAGGAGAAGAGAGAATATCTGTCAAAAACAAGATTTTGATATATGTGTGGCAAGAGATCACGCTAACTATTAACTTTCCGAAGGGAAATGACAGAGTATTTGACGCGGGAGAGAAATATTAGTTTTCCTTTCGATGCACAATTGGTTTGGTAGTAATAGCATGAAGTAGACACGTAAAATTATACGCGTCACACAAAAATGATTGAAAATTTATTTCTTGATGTTTTTATCACACAATATGTGTTTATACAAAAAAAATTAAAAGAAATGAATTTTAGAAACCTTATACAGTGAAATACGTTTAAAGCGAAAACGTTTAAGAGGAAAAATATCATTTTACACGAAGCACTACAACGATCCCGACGAACTACTATGTATTCTCACATTTTTTTCAATTCCTCTACTATTAGCTTACACTCTCCACATATATATATATATATTTAAATATATATAAATCAATCACACAATTTCACAATCAATTAAAAAATTGAAAGTATATGAATTTTATAATACTAAATCTCATTTCAAAATATCACAATGGCGAATATAGAAAATAAAATACCAACGTTTTCAAGCAAAATTAAAAATTTTATAAAATAAAAATTTATAAAATATCTAAGTGCAACCTCGGACTTAGGACTGATAAGTGGGGTTAAACTAGTTTGATGGCGCCAATCGTTTCCCTGTTGCAACTTGGTAAGTTAATCGGGAAATATCCAATTTTCAAAAACTTAAAAGTTAAAAAGTTAATACTTAAAAAATTAAACTATTCGCCATCGCATTCTGAAAGATATTATAAGATTAAAATGTTAAAACTTTAAGACAATTAAGTGCATAATATAATTGAACCATCGAACACCAAAGATGATGCACCCATCTTTAAAATAGTCGTATAGGAAGAAAAAATATTTAAAATCCGAAAGTTCAAATTAAAAACCCATTATATTCACAAATGAATAGCGAAAATCATCAAAAACTCACCCAAGAGCATCCTATCAATACTTCAATTCACAATTTCTGAACGATTTCTCATATTTCCTACAACAATCACCACTCCTATATTTTGCATATATAAACTCCCACTAATGCCATATCAACCCAAATGATCCATATTCTCACATTAGAGTTTAACTATTTGGTATTAGATGTAAACCAGATTGCATGCAAAAAAGTTGTTTGATTGGTCATAAATAATTTTAAAGTGTAGTCATGTAAATATTGGTCTAAGTGTGTATTAAAATGTATCCTGTGTGTGAAATGCACATATTCTTCACAGCTGGACCACTAACAAGCTAACTTTGTGGACCTAATGTTGTGTGGAGTATTTGTACATTTCCTAAAGTCCCATCGTAACCCTTCACAAATTTGTCAATTTTATGAGTTTAAAAAGTTTAAGAAATATTTTTGATCTATGTATTTTCTCAAGAAAAAAGTTGATGGGATAATCATTCTGTATGCAACAAAATATAAATTTCTGGATGTTCTTGAACTATCAATATTGTGTGTAGTTAAATTATTATTTCTCATAAAAAAATTTAAAATTATATTTATAAATATTGATATATGTAAAAAACTATTGAAGTTCGGTATCTTTATAACATTGAAGTTAAATGCTTTACTTTTATCAAAGATATTGCAATATAATTTGTTGTTAATAATATTTAAATCTAAATCTAAAAATTCAACTTTGTTCGAGTTAAAATTTGTCTGTATTAATTTTAGGAATTCCGGATAAAAATTAATACTAGGTTTAAATTCCCTGTCGCGACTTATAACAAGTAAACCATTTATGTATCTTAATAAGAGGCAAGATGGTTCATTTCTTCACTTTGATTTATAGTGGTGTAAATACAGATTAGCGAGACAATTACTGGCTGGGACAACCCTGAGGCAATCCTTTGATTTGTTTGTAAAGTTTGTTATCAAAAATAATTAAGTTCTCCTGTATTACATATCGAATAAGTGTATTGAACTTTTCAAAACTAATTTAACTATTCAAACCATATTTCTCATATGCACCTGAAAGTACCTCAATTATATCTTCTTTTTTGATGGAGTTAAATAAATCTTCGAAATCAAATCCATGCACTAAAAATACCTTTTGTTGCTCAACCTTCTTTATTACATCATGGCTGTTTTTTATAATAGAAGTATCTTTAAATTTGCCTATTGTATCTTGTAATATGTTTTGTAAATTCTTCCCGATTTGGATATATAAGTATTGAACCCATTTGTTACACTGCGGAATTTGACTGGATTTTTATGAAAGTTAAGAGTCAAAAATATATAAGGATATTTAATTTTATTGCTAGAAATATCTAATTGTTTACAAAATGCCAATAATCTGTTGTTAATTTCTTTCATACTAAATTTACATACTTCATATGCATTATTATTTTTATATGATCATTTATTAACTTACTATAGTAATATTTACATATTATTGCATAATTTCCTGGGACTTTATCAACATAGACAATCACAAAGTGTTTTTGTAAGTTTTCTATTGGTCTTTTAATTTCTCTATAAGAAACATCATTTTTTGCTCTAAAATTAAAATTCATTAAGTCCCTGAGGACATAAAAACCATATTCCTTAAAGGCTTGAGTAGGTAAATTATATTTTATTGCAATATGGAGAATAAATTTGTTAATATCTTCCGAGAGCTGTTTTTTACATTTAAATTGCTATTCGAAATAGTTAATCGATAACCAGTGTCTTTGCACATAATATCTCTTAATTTCTGATCTTGAACTATTTCTAGGTTGCCTGTTACTACGTGCCCATGATACTCGTCCACGTATTTCCTGTAATCATTGCATCTACATTCTCTTTGATCAATATATATTTGTTCAAATTTTCAATCTTTAATAAAATACTTTCTATTCATCCATTCAAGTTCAAATAAATCTTTTTAAACTTGTATTGGATGACACTTGATGTTAATACAGTAATAATATTAATTCATTAATTAATGAATAATTAGTAATTAACGAAAATAATAGTCCAACAACCTGCATAAAAAGGAAAATCGCTCGTTGTGTTCCTGTAGTGCAATGGGTAGCACGTTGGACTTCTAATCCAAAGGTCGTGGGTTCGAATTGCAACTAAGAGAATCCCATTCAATTTCTGAGAACGTGATTTCCTTTTACTGTATCATTTTAATGGAATAATTAAAGTTAATTGTTCAATAAATAGTAACAAACAAAAATAAAAGTCCAACACCATGTATAGAAAGGAAAATGGAAAATTACTTTCTATTTTGCCACTTAATATAGTGATTCTGTTATATGTATATACCATATTTATATTAAATGTAATTATTTAATAAAAAGTAACTAAAATAAAAAATTTTCTTTGCTGACCTAGGTAGGAATTGACTTTATATATATATATATATATTTAACTTGTTTCTCTTAATATGAAACGAAAATCACTTAACACGAAAAGATTTCCCTTCAGGGAATGAACAAAATACGGAAAACATTATTAGAAGTTTGAGAAAGTTTCTGTATTATTTAACTGTCCCTACGGTATCATCAGTAGAATTTGTTGCAGTAGATGATGAATGTGTGTACAGCCCCAATTATGCTTGACAAAGACATTTTGGAGTTTGTTCAAATTTTAAAAAATATCCTTGATGCAGATTCCGACGATCAAAATGAAATGAAAAATGCAGCTCCTGTTCCCACGTCATTCGAAATGAGGAACGTCATAAAAAGTATGGGCAATTATTTAAACGCACATTTCAATAGTGAAATGAATATCAAAATGACATCGAACACTTTGTTGCCAATTTGAGGCTAAAGAAAGCAATCCAAAGAAAAACACCGGATTATTTTCCAAAAACTCAATAAATGTTTTGTTTTTCAAAAAAATGAAATATAATACAAAATTTTCTCTAGTTTAAGTAAATGTTTTTGTTTCATTGATTTTTATTAAATACATGCATATATACATATCTAAGTAAGTAAAAAATGTATTCTAATAAATTAATTTTGTCGAATATATTTGCAAAATCCTTTAACACGAAACATTTCTGTCTCCTCAGTTTCGTGTTAAACGATTTTCATTTTATATCTGTGAGTGTGTGGTTTCTATGAAAATTTACAGATTTGAGTGTTTTTGCTGACGTCGCACTAAAAAGCAAAAAGGTTATTGGCGATGGACCTCATAATTTTGAGCTAAGGTAAAGTGATGAGGACCTCATAATTTAAGAAGGGTGCCCGAGCTGGAATCCCCTCTTTGCACCTCCTCACCACTCCAATAGGAAGACTTTGATTAAACAAGGTGCATCAACCCATCTTCAAGGCGGATAATTTATAAAGATTTTCTCTCATTTTGGTTGATTAAAAAAAACCCATTTTGTTTGAAACCCATCGATTTTATTTCTTTCACAAAGACGAGTTGGAGACTGAGGTGCCGGCTCAGGTATCATCCTCGTCACTTGAGCATGGATCAAGATTACGAGAATGGCTATCAATAATACTTTCGTTTCCGTATTCAGTGGGACACGTAGGAATTTTCAAGGATGGGGGAGGGGGATCGAGGGTTGGAAATCAACCATTCCCAATACGCCGCCCAACATATTTTGATTGTATCGATTGGCAGAAACAAAAAGTAAAAAAATAAATGATTAAATACCTAATTAACAATCATTTGTAAAATAAATTATTAAATACAAGTACTTAATTATAAATCACATAAGTATCATATACATAGTATGTATATATTACTACATACATAAGATCATAATCAATCGAAAGAAATAAAAGACAATGGGGAGAGGGAGGGTCCAGACCCCCAGCGCCCCCTTGTGTGCGCCACTGTTCGTGTTGCTTCACAATAAGATGCTAATAAACAACTAATCAACCAAATTGGCCAAGTTCATTATTTCAAGTTGTTTACGTAAATATGCTATTGGAAGTTTTGTATATAAAGACGTTCTTAGATACAATGAGGAACAGACATTTACGCTGTGAATCGTATCTTCTTCAACTATGAAAATGGTACTAATTATCATTGCAGCTGCCTCATGCTTGGCTTATAATATGCACATCGTATTCCAAGTCAACTCCAAATTTGTCCTCGTTGTTGTAGTGCGTTTCATCCAGGAATATATACGAAAGACGAGCGAACATAGTGCTCTCCAATATTTTTCGACAGTTGAGTTAAGGCTAATTAGTGCAGCGCACACGACCAAATGTTCAGCGGTCATAGGCTGACCAGAGTCGCCCAGAATACAGTCAGGTGAGTTGGCGATACCATTTCTGTAGAGAGGCAATCTTAGACAGTCATGACCTGTCAAAAGTCTAAAATGAGCAACAGCAGCTTTTCTAGGAGCCACGGGAACCCAGGTCGGGTCCTTATTCAAGATTGCCCAGTTCTTGTCCTTCGAAAACACCGCAACTTCCGTTTTAATGTTATTGTTAAAGGCCATATTAGAAAAAAGCTTTAAGGAATAAAAGGTTGACATCCTCGCGGGTTTTTGGATCACAAGGGCTCCTTTCTTAGCAAGAAAGTCAGCATGCTCATTCCCAGCTATGTCACAATGAGCAGGTATCCACTGAAAAAAGATTTTATGAGGAACTTCCTTTAAGAATGATCTGCTTTTTGAAATTCTTTGTGAATTGCAGAGGCAATTTTGAGATAAAGCCTGTAATGCCGATTTAGAGTCGCAAAAGATTACTGCCCTGATGAACTCAGATCTTCCTAGCTGCTCGCTCGCAACTGCAACAGCTTTAATATCGATCTCTAGATATATGCTATTAGAATATATACTTTATAACAAACGATGATCCCAGCATAGAACAGAAGGGGTGCACTGTTTTCCATTCGAGACCGGAATCCATTTTAGGCACCAAGTTCGCCTTCTTTTCCCGAAGATGCATTCAAACCTTTTTCGGGTTTCGAACCCGAGCCCACTCGATTCCAAGCCAAGGAATATAAGCACCATACTGGCTGGGCGGCAATATTTGTCCCGGTACGCAACATTAATAAAAAAAAGTGGCGGGAAAACTACATCGAAATGCCACTTATAATGAAATAACTGTAGAAATCTTTTGAACAAATTCTGTTCATGCCTATTTTTTTGTATATATGACGCAACGGTCGCCTTTACCTCTCTATTCTCACATAAGAGTATGTATCATAGCAAGATATGTTTGATTTTAAAATATATCCCATTTCTGAATCACTCTGTTTATGGTGGGTTTGAATACTAAGTTTGTACTCATAATCAGGTTCACCTCATTTTACACTTTCTGCTTACCTCTTTCGGAGTGTAACGAAATCGCAAATACATAGAAGTGAAATTTGTGAGATATAACTAAATTCCAAAATATCAATGTAACGTTCGTCATATTGATGTGTAAATTATTGGAATTTCTAACAAGCAAATGTTTGCCTGGAAGTAGTCCACAGGGCTTTGGACAAAACTTGTATCTTCGTACATTTTTGGAACTTTTTTTAAAAGTTAAAGTAAAGAGTCGGCTCATATACACGAATCTTCTGATGTCAGAAAAAAATATTTGAAGGGAAACGGTTTATTTAATATATTCCAATAGTCACCCGCAAGCGATATAAAATCTTTTAAGCTTTTTATGTGTTTTGAACGGAATTTTTAATCTGAAAGAAGAAAGGCGCACAAATCCTTTAAAGTCAGAGCCAGTATTCGAGTTTACGAACAGTTCCTGAAATTCACATTTACTCAATTGGGCATCTGAATGCGCATGATAACTATTCAGCGAATTATTTCCTCCTGGGCATGCAGTATAGGTTGACGACTAAGTGATGAACACCAGGGATGACCAACATGAATTGACTACATAATAGAAAAAATTTTCGCAACTCTTCTGACAATAAGTCGATCGTGACAGTTTTAAATAGACAAAAGGTGATCTACTACAGGAAAAAGTTGGCTACCACTACAGTATATGAATTTCTCTTCCCGCTAATTTTTCAAACAAAAAATGGCGTAGAAGCTATGAATAACACAAATAATATACAAGATTATAAATGAATGAATGAAAAAAAAAGATGTTAATTGCAAATAGGCTTAACAGCTATTTTCGTTGGCGTCTGACGTTTTACTTTCTAGCAATTAGATTGGAAAATATTGGCAACATTTTCTTCTTCATAGCGACATGTTCGAAAATTTTTGGAACTTTTTCAACTAGGCTTATATACGGGTTTAAAATTTTTGGTAAAGTTTGGAAGAAAAACGCTTTTTCGACTTATACATGCATCGGCTTACAATCAAGTTAATTGATAATTTTTAATATTAATTTCTTTCCATAATTTAAAAATTTGCCTTTATAAAGATACATTATTACATAGGATTTCTTCCAAATGCAATATTTATTCATTTAATTAAATCTAGGATTCGTACTGCGGAGCTAACTCAAATCTGTACAGAAAATTAGTATTCACCTTACATCAGAGTCTCATGTAATATAATGAGTTCCAAACAAGAAACAAGTAATGTAAAAAATAAATAAATAATAATAATAACAATGTCGATTCCTATTTAGGTCAACAAAGAAATATTTAGGCTTTTATTTTAATTACTCTTTTACTAACTAATTAAAATTATGTACTATAAATACGTATATACTTATGACAGAATCGCAATATTAAGTGGCAAAACACCTTTTAAATTAACATTAAAAACTTTTTAAACCACGTTAAATTTGTAACTACAATTTTTTAATATAGGTTCAATATAATGGGTATGAATTTATCTTAATCATCTGACCGGAACATCCGTCTCTCAGACGGGGATGATTTGTTTTGATGCCTGTAGATAACGGTGTGGTGTGATTTTTGGGGTGGGCTGCCTTAACATCTTCAGTTGGACTCTACCCAGCGAGAGGGACACTTGGTGGTACTTGGCGATTTTTTTCATCTCAGGGTATGTCTGCAATTTTTTTTTTATCTATCACCGTCTATCATACCAATACAATTTTTTTCGTTTTTGGTATTATTTTTAATTATTTTTAAATGAATATAAATCATTTTTAATCAGCTTTTATTAAAATACTAGTCAGAATTCTTGTGATAAAAATATATTAATATAGTGTGTCTCATAAAAAGACTTAAATATTAAAAATTCTACTGAATTTCG